TGTTATTCAGCTACTTCCAGATCCTAGACCTTTCAAAAAGCAAGAAATTTTAGATTGCTGGAACTTAACAGCGACACGATACATCACAATGTCAATATTCTTCTTTTGTCAAAAGGAGAAAACATAGGCTAAAATAAGTTGATGTAGTCATATTTTTATGGTTCTTGAAATGTTACTATGCAATTTTTAGTTGATTTAGCAAATGCTGCTGTGTGAAAGAAAAAATTATTTTCAACATGCTGAGGTAGCAAGTTTCCTTTTATACCTTCTTTATGCTTGAGGCCATCGAGTCTAGAGGCAGTTGAAACTAGATTTATAGGTTAGTCACCAAAACATCACTGCAGACAGAACCTCCAAACCTGAACAGTTCAACAAAATACAGTACCAAATCATTTTTAGTTTACAATAGCAACAGAAACAGCGAGGCAATGTGTAACATATTTTGAGGCAGAAGGTCAACAACGCATACTACCTTTGAACATTTTAATTGTGCAAACAATATAAATGAAAGAGATAACTACAAATGTTCATTAAAGGAGCATGAAATACTTCAAGATAGAAGGATGTTTCTAATATGCTTCCCTGAAAGCCAAAAAAAGCAAACGGGTTCTTCTCGTTTTCTTCAACTAAAAAGTTGTTACAATGGTTTACAATCCTTTCCCCCCAAAAAAGATAAATTAAGAATATTGATATTGGGCCAGGGATTTAATTTAGCTCAGTGATTCCAGCGCCTGTCTCGAAAGCGCAAGGTCCTGAGTTTGATCCCTGGTACCAAAAAAAGAAGAAGAAGAAAGAAAAAGAATATTTATATCAAAATGGTAGTGAAAAGATACTTTACAGTGTTAGATAACAAAATATCTTGCATTATTCAACCATATAAAGAACTACCAATATTCTTTACAAATATAGCTATTCCTAACGGGTATGCTGTAATAATATAAGGGAGGAAAAGTTCTGATGTTTTTTACAGAAACTGTTATTATCTAACGATTACCACTAGCATTTTATAAGAAGGTACAGTCATATTGATGTTACTGCAAAGGCTGTATCATTGCTGCTACAAATATGTTGGTTTTTATCTGAAGATTAAGATCCAAAGAAGAAAAACACAGAGGATGGATGGGCTGCAAAACAGGAATCTAACTTTTTTGGTTCAATTATGAGTTTTTCTAGGAAGACACTTCTGTGTAATGGGATGTGAAAGTAACACCTCCATCTGTGGACTAGTCAAAAGCTAGGAATTAGAACCTCCAGCAAAATGCCCTAAATTTGTTACACTTCTTTGGAGTGGCTACCTCAAGGCAACATGTGGATTAGGACACACCTCTTCAAACAAGAAAGTAATTGTCCCTTGATAATTCATACAGTCATTGTGTTTCTTACTTTCTCAACTTTTCCCAGTTACTCTTCTCCAGTACCATTTTTGATAACAACTGATATGGTACAGCTTTTCTAAGTTGTTCAAAGGTGAAATAAAGGGAGGGAGTTAGGCATGCATTTGGTACAGAAGCTGTCAGTACAGTGGGAGCACCACTAATAACCTCAAGAGGTAACCCATAAGAAAGGTAACATCAAGGGGAATGAAGGTAAGATCTTTGTGTTCAACCACTCTATCCCCCTTTCCTCCATCCTCTTTACAAAAACAAAACACAAAAGCCTGGAGCATTCTGGATAAACATTAGATGTTAGAATACTGGGGTTTCTCAGAAAATATTTTTTCAGAATAAAATGAACACTATATCTAATGTTACTTACAATGTCTTTAACTCAAACTGCTAAATAAAAGCAAAAACATACAATAGAGTGCCTTACTTTTTCAGATACTTTTAGCTTCAAAAAATAATCCTAATCAACAATTAGGTGTCCAAGGCAAAGGTTTCTTTGATCCTAATACTATCACCTCAGAATAAGCTATCTATTCCAAACAAAAAATAAATTTACATACAAGATGCCTTAATCTAATTTCCCATTTTATAATGTGCTCTTTTTGATCAACAATTCCAATTAAAAGTAGTCACCAAAGCTCAGTGGAAATGAGGACTGAAGCTTTACTACAGATAAATATTTGGCTCTAGTCTTAGTTCTACCTCTTCTAACTAAGCAGACTCCTGATACTGCATGCTTTAGTCTCCCTATCTGCACACAGAAGAAATGAAGCTATTAGGCTATGGACAACACCTTTTCAAAAGCATAACCACAATTGATTTGGTTCTCTTGAATCTGTAGAAGAGAAAAAAGAAAAATAGAAGAAAGGAGATAAACAGTCCTAAGCACTGATACTAGAAATAAATCCCTCTAAAAAGGAATGAAGAAAACAAAAAGGCACAGTAATACTGCCATCCTGACAAATATAAAGTCAAATCTCTATAAAGTTATTCTATGGATATGTTAAGCATCATAAAAGGCCATTCGGTAAATGTTTTAAATATAACCACTCTACTGTAGACATCCCCGAAATATTTAGGTTCAAGTCAGCAAAACTTAATCCTTTGTGAGCTACTGGCCATTAAGGGTAAAGTCTGCTGGGGTGGCTATTGTTGAGATTATATCTTAAAATATTAATTTTTGTGGGGTTCTATATTAAACACTAACAGGAGAAAAATAGGTACTTAAAAACAACAACCAAAAAAACAAAACTTATATAAGAGATCGGTCTTTTGTGTCCTCTTAAAGTCACATTTTCAGAAGCACAAGCTTTTCAGCACTGATTATTTCCTTAATCATATGTGAAGCCAAAAGAATAGATATGCTAATAGTGCAGGTGTTTTAGCAATTATTTTTAGGTCCTACAACTACAGTAACTAAATACACAGAAGACGAGTACAAAATTTTTAACAAATTTTGAGGGAAATGGGTTTTGTTAGTGACAATAACAGAGAACCCCAATAGTAGGAGAAAACTCAGGATACCAGAACTGAAACAATCAAAAGCCTACTGCCTTTCTGAGTCAATGACACAGAGGCAACACACAGACTGTTGGAAGAAAGAAACATGTAAACAGCCTGCAATCTAAAGTGGCAAATGCTATGATATAACATTGCTATAGATTTATAACAATCTAACTAAGTAAGGGGAGACTAAGATTCTGTAGAGGCCCTATCTAGGGAATTCTGACTGGCAGGGGAATCCCAAGGTCAAATGTATCAGACTTTAGAGAGAGTCTACACTGTATTACACTCCTTGGCATTACAGATATAAAGAAAATAAGATAAGGTTCCCTGCCCTTAAGGAGCTTTAGAGTGCAAAGAACTCAAATGCAGCATGTCTGGGATCCAAACAATGATACTGACTTTTCTAGAGCTGGAGTTAATGGTGGAAAAGCAGTAAAAAACTAACTTTATAAATGAAATCATATTACTAGTTTGAAGACCTAAGGCTCAGTCTAAAGAATGAGAGAAATTCAAAATAGATGACCCAAGATCACTTAAAACAGCCTCGTGAAAAAACTGAAGTCCAGTTAAAAGAATAAAAATAAATCTGAATAAGGTGCATTTTAAGCTGAAAAACTGGGGACTGAACCCACAGCCTTCACACTGAGCTACACCTCCTTCCCTAGATTTTTGTATTTAAAACATGCTCTAAATAAATCGCTGCTCAGACTTGCAATCCTCCTGACTCAGCCTCCCAGAATGATGTGAATACAGGCCAGAGCCACCAAATCAGGCTAAAGCTTTAGTTCACACTTTGTTGTGCCAATGGAGTTGAGGGCGGTGCATAAGAGTTGTTAAAAGCACAAAGTCTGGAACCAAACTCCCTATACTCAGCTCTGAAATCCACCCCTTTCTGAGTTTAGGGGAAGTTACAACTCTCCCTCTGTCTCTGCACCTGTGAAAGGGTGTGAACAGTAAGTGTCAATAAAGCCAAGAGCCTTCTCCAAAACACAGATGTGATTTTATCACTATATTGATCAAAAACTTTATTCTCAAAATCAAATTCACATCGTTTAGGCAGTGGCAGTGTGTAGAGCCTACCTTCCCTTCTGGCGTTAATCCCAATTCAACATCCTCCTACTTTCATGAACCATGAATATGGTATCAGTTCCGCAAAAACAATAAGCACTTTACTGTCTAGAAGCCTTTCTTCACCAGCTTTCAAGCCCACTGCCCTAGGGAAAAAACTCTTCAATTCCATAGCACACTTCACCTGTTTACAGTTTACCACCACTATTTATATTTGATCTTTCAAGGCCTCCCTCTCACTTCTCACTAAGGCAGTAATTTCAGGGAGTACGGTCAATCATCTTCATCCTCCTTCCTGCCCGGAGACCGTGAGTATGGAAGGTCGGGGTAAGCTTTTACTAAATTGAATGTTTATAACTGTAATTTCAGAAACTGCTTAATATCGCATCATGTTAAGTGCTTTCGGATCCCAAAGTCTTGACACAAAACGTCTGTAAAAATCAAGACAACACCATCCTTTCAAGAAAAGTTCTATGGAGTACCTCCTCCCACACACACACCGCTCCCCGAGTTGACAATGCGGTTCTCTTAGCTCCAAGAAGTTGTGTGCGCCTCGGAGAGCAGCTGCACACTGGCCAGTGCTCAACTTCGAAATAGAGGAGGCAGCTCCACTCAACTTCCTGCGGCCCGGACCCGGCCGCGTTCGCCTCTCTCCTCTCCTCGTCCCGCCGCAGCGCCCACGGGACGCGGATCTTCCCCGCGGCGAGGCTCGGGCCTGCGCCGCCACCGGACTGCCCCGCTTGCCTGGCTCTCTTCCCACGGCCCCAGGCCTCCCCGGGACCGCTGCTGGCTGCTCGCTGCTCGCCACCACGGCCCGGCCCAGCCCGCGTCCGCCACCGCCACCCCCGCCGCCTCCCCGGGCGGAGTAGGGGACTTGCTGGGCCCCGCCAGGCGCCGGAGGCGGAGCCCGCCCGAGGGCCCCAGGAGAGTGGGGGGGGGGGCAGCCTCCGCCCACCCCGACGCGCACCCACTGCCACCCAGACACGACCCGACCCCGACCCCTGCGGCCCGGCCCGCGGCCCGGCGGGACGCACCACTTACCAACCCGCCTGGGACAACAACGCGCCGGGGACCTCTGCCATGGCAGCTGCCTGGGGCGGGGGCGATAGGGGGATGGGGTGGGGGCGGGAGGGACACCTCCTACTTGAGACCCAAAAAAGAAGAAAAAGGAAAAAAAGAAAGAAAAAAAGAAAAGAAAACTCCTCCGGTCGGCCCCACGACTGGGCATGCTCAGTGCAGCGGGCACTTCCGCGTGCTGGTTCCGCTCGCCGCGTTTTCCGAGAGGCCGCGTGGGCCGGGCTGGGGCGGCGGCTGCGGCGGGGGCTGGAGTCCGAGGGCCGTGCCTCGTCACCCACTGCTCTAGTGTTTTGGTTGGGTTTTCGCGCGTGTGCCACTATTCGCACCTGCACACCTCGGAAACTGGTGGGAGGCGCTCTGTGGGGCAGAAAGCCAGGCCGCGCTTCCGGCAGCCACCCTGGGGCGGGCGGGACGGCGCCGGCCTGAAACCCGAGCGCTCTGAAGACGTCCCGGGCCTAGCCCATTCTCACAGGAGAAAAGTTTGCTTCCTGCTCAAGACACGCGCCATTCACCTCGCCTCATGGTCCGCGGTGACTTAGAGTTAAGAATGCAGCCGGGGCTTTGAGTCCCCACTGAGGGACACCACAATGAAAGTGAACGAGTCACCCGAAAAACACTTGCACTTAGAAAACGTAAAAATCAGGCAGTTGAGTCAGTGCGGTTTTTTTGTCGCTGTCCCTTGGGGAGTACCCACATAACTACGCAAACCTCAACCTGAGCCTGGGCCCTACCAGGCCAGGCCAAGAGCTAAAGCGCTGCGTACGTCCTTTGTGGGCATGCGCGGGGACGCCAGCGCGCGCGTGCGGAGGACGCTCCAACGCGATTGGGCGGCCAGGACTCACACTGGCCAATTAAAAAGAAGCAGTCGACGAGTAAGTAAGCTGTGGCCCAGGGAGAAGATCCTTGGAAGATTTAGCTCTTCTGTTTGTCCTTCCCGGGCTGAAGGAAAAAGACCCCAGTAAGTTGCACTGTCCCCAGCTGATAAGTTTGCTAACACACTGCTTAGAACTTGAAGTCCGTCACTACAGTTAGCCGTGGCTGAGATGCTGCAGAGTAGGCAGGGCCGCTCTTACAAATAGGAAGTTGGCTGTTACAGAAGAAAGGGAGATTATTAACTGGAGTAGAGTTAAAATTCCACAAGTTAAAGTTTTCACATTTTAACTGAGGCTCTTGAGTCTTAGGCATAGTCTAAAATCGCGATGCTTTCTTTAGATTATCTTACTGAAATTTGTTTCCAACCATTTTCAAAATCAGACAACTCCATCTCCCCCCCCCCCGCATTTTACAGTTTAGTCATTTTATTGAGGAATACTGTTTTAGAAATAGATGACTTTAAAAATTAATTTGCTAATATAGGTGATTAAATAGAATGTTCTTTCACAATTATTTGTATTTTGAAATTAGTGTAATTTGTTAAGTGTGAAAATGATATGTTGTCCCAATCACCAGAATTCCTCAGGATAAATGAGAAGCCTTTGCATATTTGTTCTCACAAGCAATTTAATCCAATAAAAACTTGACGTTGTGTGGTCTTATAACTTCCATCAAGTGCTCCACAAAACACTGAATTCTCCTACTTTGAGGAAGGACATTCTACTGGAGAAATTTGGGTCAGTGCAAACATCAAAAAAAAAAAAAAGACAATAATTGATGCCACACATTGAATTTTTAGTGTTTGAGTTCAGAGTGACAAACAAAACCAAGAAGCCAGGAGAGGGAGACTAAACACCCACCCACACACACCACATTATAAATATTGAACAAATAATAGAAAAATCAGTTTTCCAATCACAGTTGATTTAGGCAAGGTTCACCAGAGGATACCAAAAACCACTGGGTGAAAAATTGAAGGAGTACAGGATGCTTACATAGCCTCAAAGAATCAAGCCATAAAGTATTACAAAAGGAAAAATGTGCCTTTACCTTTAAAAAAAAATCCTGCGTTAGTCATCAAAGCTAGACTCACAATAGGACAAGCATGTCATGTTTTTACTCATGTAGCGCAATGAGACATAAATATCATTTAAGAAATATTTTGCCAAAATTACTTAATATGAATTTAATCAAACTTCCATACAGTAAATCCCAACCACAGGCTTGATCCTCAGCTCGCTGGCACATTTAGCAGTGTCTGGAGACATTTTTGTCACAACCTGAAGGGGGTAGATATTAATTGTATTTATGGGTAGAGGCCAGGGAAGCTGCTGTACAACGTATAATGCTTGGAACAGTCCTGCAACCCCCCAAAAGACTTATCTAGTACAAAATCTCAATAGTGGCAGGGTCAAGAAACTTAGGTCTAGATGGAAACACAAATTTAAAGGACATATAGGTCATATCAGAACAAGTTAGAAATGAAAACACAGACAGATAAGTCCAAAATGTGGCCTGTTCTATAACATGACATGGAGTATTGAAATGAGCCAATGTAAATACAAAGAAGAGGGAGGGGGAAAAAAATTTCTTCCAAATTAAAAAAAAATGTAAATTGGCACACGATAGGTGCTCAGTAAAATATTTGTGGAATAAATAAATGGAATAACTATAGTTTTATTTTAAAAGATGCAAGAAACATGAAAACAAAATTCCTAGATCTAAAAAACAAAAAGACAATTATTTGTGACCAGTTGCAGGAATTTGAATATGGATTAGACACTGGATAGTGTAATGAAATTGTGATGTTATGATGCTATTACCATTAGAAATAATGGAAATTTCTTGGAAATTTTACACCAAAGCATTATGGATGAAGAGGTGTGTGTACAACTTACTTGCAAATGATCCAAAGGGGGGAATATATATATATATATATAAAATATGCAAGTATATACATACATGTGTATATATATATGAATAAAAAAAAGGACAAAATATTAAAAATAAATCAAGGGCAGATTCTGGTACTCATTTTTTAAAAGCTTCTCTAGGTTTGAAGTGGCTCAAGAAGCTAAAGAAAAATATGGATTATACTAGTTCACATCAAAAATTTTAAATTGACATATTGGCCTATATAGATAAGTTAGTGCTGTGGAAAATAGTAACAGCCAAGTAGATGAAAATGTGTACTTCCATCTTTAATTAGATAAATCATTGATTTATAGAAAATATAAAGTCTACAAAGAGCTGAAATTGAAAGAAATCCTAAGGATAGCAAAAGAGCTTTGTTAGGTACAAGAAAACGAAGGGAGGAATTGAATGCATTTGGACTGAATGGTTTAAGTTAAAGAGTCAGAGAGACTGAGCATCTTTTCACATCTGTTTTGCCTCTGCCATGTCAGTGATGGAAAAGTTTCTCAGAATGAAAAGAACAGAATAATGTAGGTAAGTAGGAATCAAAACTACAATTAAAAACGTGACCCTCAAAAAAAAAATGTGACCCTCTGAGGCAAATTAAATCTTTGAACCTTAATCCATTTATTTATCCAGAGAATATTACAACAACCTGTGAATGACACACACATTTTTTTTTTTCCAACGAACTCTCCGCAGTGATGGAAATGCTCTACATTTCTACTGTTCAATATGATACCCACTAGCCATCTGTGGAGAATATATCAGCAGTAGCTAAATACTGGACATACAGCACAAATATATTTCCTCACATGTCTGGATGTGTAGATACATATGTAGGTAGAAGTAAAAATATATATTGAGGGACCCACAACAAACGCATGATTTTGTGGAAGTGGAGACAAAGGGAAATAAATCTGAACATATTTACCAAAGAGGATGTTTTGCTTTGTCCTTAAAGTTTATGTCTTTAAATAAAACATGAAAGTGTTATGACAGTATATTAGTTATTGTTGCTTGGCTAGTACAAATACGGATTTTTATATCATTATTTTACATTAGCGTATTTCAAATATTTCAGAAAAGCAAGTTGCAACACTTGTATTATATACTTTTATAACTATACAATATTTTCTATAATATATTCTGTTACATTGCTAATATAATCAATATAACAAACAAAAAGAAAAAATAAAGTGAAAGGGAGGGAAAAAAAAGTACTCTAATAGAACTTTCATAAATTTGAGACTCATCTGGAAGGAAATTTAAACTTGTGCTTGTCAGTCCCAGAGTGCAGTCCTAGGAATAAGGGAGAGACAATTTCCATCTGTGTGGTAATAAATCTCAATCTTGGGACAGTCCAACAAGGAAACAGGCAATCTTAAAACAGAGTGAGTTCCCCAGGGTTGAATGTATTCAGGCATCATTTAAAGGTTCAGTTTCTGTGAACATTATAAAAAGGAATCTAAGTGGTTAAACTTTGAATGGCTTTCAAAGGATTTTCTAAGAACTCTACGGCTGCAGTACAAGGAGCCTCCAGAAGAACAGCAGGGGCAAGGGAAAAAGGTCAGTAAGCTGAGTTCTGGCCTCCTAAGTGCCACTCAGAGCAGTCCAGCACTTCTCCTTTTTTATTCACTGCGTTTTTAATGAAAGATTTCACTTTAACATATAATTCAGCAAATAAGTTTTAAGGCTAGGGAGCTGGAGGAATAAACCAGTCCTCAGGACTTATTGAGTCTACACTGTGAGCCAGTCCTGGGCCTTGGCACTACAAAGAGGTGAGACCAGCAATCATGAGCTCTAACCTTTGGAGTTTATAGTCAATCTGAGGACAAAAATACTAAAATTCTTCTGCATGGTTAGTTAATTACAATTGTAATAAATGCTGTGAAGATATCCAACAACATATGATCCTGAGATCATATGATACTGTGAATTCATATATTCATTGCTAAAATGATAAATTTTTAACTTGATTATGCTATATATTTTATGCATACCTTTGAGACTATTGTCTGTTTACTGTATTTACTGTCTATTTCTTATATCAGTTTAACAAAAATGTATTTACTGGGCCATAGATGTAGCTCAGTGACACCACATCTGCCTGGCAAGCACAAGGTCCTAAGTTAGAGTCCCAGTACTGAGAAAAAAAGGCGGGGATGGGGGGGGGGGCGGGGATGGGGGGGGCGGGGATGGAGCTCAGCAGCACAGCACCTGCATGAGGCCCTGAGTTTGATTCCCAGTACTCCCCCAAAAATGTATTTACTTAGGCTCTAATAATGGGGGAATAGCCAGAGGTTTAGCTCAGTGGCACCAGCGCCTGCCTGGCAAGTACAAGTCCTGAGTTTGATCCCTGGTTCTGAAAAAATAAATAAATAAACAATAATAATAATAATAATGGGGAAATAACAGTGAATAAAATAATCTGAACCCTTAAACTGACAGCAATTTTATCCTAATCATTAAGGAAGAAACTGTTTTAGTAAATTAAATACAGCTTTTATCAGTTACTAAACAATATAATAATATATGAGTATAATTGGCCATAAGTACAGCAAAACAAGTTTTAGGTGAAAAAAAGACTGGAAGGGTATGTACATTAATAAAACTAGTACAGATCTCCGAGTGGTGGTAGGAATGATTTTATTTCCCTCCTTAAGTGTGTGCTGGTTAATTTTGTGTGT